GTTTCCTTCCACATATAGCTTTGCAAAAATTGCATAAAAAGCGCTTGCAGGAACAAAAACATAATATTCCAGAAACACGCTTTGCTGATCCGATCAGCTGTTCCTAACACTTCCCACAGTGAAACAGACGTCAGCGCGAACTATCGCATGTCTGCCATTTCCTGGCCGAAACCGGAAGTGACGTCATTTTCGCGGAAAATTTAGTTTTTTACTTGTAGGCCTTAAAAGCCTATACTGGTCATGTTTGACTTTTCTGAATAGTTTCTGGGATGCTTAGAACTCGAATTGCACTGCTGGAAATAGTTTATTTTGATGCACATGCTGTTTTCTTTGCAAATTTGCATCATAGGATTGTTTTTCGTTTTTCCTGCAGTATATAAAAATTGGTGTAAATAAATTTCCTGTTGTTGTAAACTATTTTTTGCAACTTTTTTGTATTTAAAGTTTTGAGGGATAAACCTCTTAAATTTCTCCAAGTAGAAATATATGTAAAAAAAAAAAACGATTTTCAATTTTTTTGTAGTTTATTGCACTTTTTTGCAATTAATGTAGTTACTATGGACTTAATGCATACATATTATTAAAATATGGGCTATAACAGTTGTATAGCAACTTGAAATGCTCCCACAAATGGCACTACAACATGTAAAAAAATAATATAAGCTCTGGCGGACTTGGTTCTATAGTAGGTCTTAAAGGGTTAAATAAATATCGTCAAATAATCGAGATCTCAATTTCAGTGAAAATAATCGTGATTATCATTTTTGCCATAATCGAGCAGCCCTAAGATTAATACATTTCTTTTTATTAAGTGTTTCATGGATTAATTTATTTTATAAGGATGCATCAGTGCGCTGGAAGATCTAATTACAATGTATCGATGTATATTTGAGTATGCAATTTTGTTTTCATTTTCATTTCACTTTCCTGCAGTTCCTGAGGCACTGAAGGGCGTGGTACATCCACTGACAAGCAGAAGAAGGCGGAGAAAAGAGATACAGAGACCAGGAGGAGTCATCAAGAGCAGTTTTAAGGTGAGATTTGGTTGGAAGGGACACCAGATCTTTGATACGCCACAGATTTGTGTAATAGTTTGAATTCTGTTCCAGGTTTCACCTTTTTGTCATATTTTTTGTCATGTATTTTCTGTTTCAGTCTGAAAACAAACTGTATATCTATTAGATTTTAGTTAAACAAAATCAGGCAATTTGAGTTGTGAGCGTTTGTACTATTTTCTTACTTCTAAATTTCAGTTCACTTTTACTTATAATGTACCAAATGAGAACAGTTGCTTCAAGGCATTTTGTATTGTAAGGCAAACACCCTATGATAGTACAGAAGAAAACCCCAACAGTTGAACGACCCCCTGTGTGCAAACACTTGGTGACATTGGGAAGAAGGAGCTTCCTTTTAATAGGAAGAAACCTCTAACAGAAACAGGGAGGGGCAGACATCTACTGCAGCTGGCAGGATAAAAGACACAATCTGATAATAATGAATTATATAATAGTCTAGCCTAGATGTAATAAATGTATGAACTAGTTTTGAGCATCACTCTTAGATGACACGTTTTATCAATTTTATTTATATTGATATTAGGGCTGCACGATTTTGCATAAAATGAGAATCACGATTTTTTGGCTTAGAATTGAGATCACGATTCTCTAACGATTTTCTTTTCCAGTATAAATATTTATTGCACTTATTAACTGCACATCAACTTCGTAACAGTTGAGACTGAACATAAAAACAATAAATAAACATAAAAACAACAAATGTCTCACGTTTTGTTGTTGCCGCAAAATGTTGTACTGCTTGAAATTCCGTCTCCACCGTTGCTCAACACTGCGTGTATAGAGCAGGTAGTGCAACAATAGAAAAATAGTTGCGGGACGGCACTGTGTAGCGTTTGTCTAGGGTGTTGATCATTTTCCTAAATCCCTCGTTTTGCACAGTGTTGATGGAGCCATATCTTTGGTCAGGTGATAAGTGATAGCCTCCGTAATTTCTTTGTGCCTGCGGGAGTTCGACGGGTATAGGGAAGCGCTGTATAAGGTTCCCGTTATTGATGTTTGGGTGGTTGACCGGGACGGATTTTCTCCTGTCACTTTCTCGTCATCCCTGACGTGCTCTCCGTTGTTTTTTCCCTGCTAATTTTAGCATCACACGGCACAGCTTCTGTATCACGTGGTATAAGGCTCCGCCCTTGTCATTTGTTGAGCAGGAAGAGTGAGCGCTTGTTTTCATGCAGATTACGTCCCGGATCAAAATGCGGTACAATCGTCGTCGTCTTTTTTTTTTTTTTTTTTTTAAAATCGTTGTCATTTGGAAATGAGATCGCACATAAGTATGAATCGAGATCGCGATTTTCTAACGATTAATCGTGCAGCCCTAATTGATATTAGTGAGATGCCATTTTATGTCTTTTACAAAGCTCACAATATAAAATGTATATTAAAACAAAAATGTCCAGTTAGTTTGATGAAATCACCCCCTTGTTCTGAGCTAATGTGTTCCCTTTTGGTTTTGGTAGAAGAACATCCGGGGGAAGAACCCACTGAAGAGTTTCCAGTACACTGGAGGGAAAAACAGAAAAGGCAAAGCGAGCCAGTCATAGCCGTTGGAACACACCTGAATGCGTTTGAGTTGCAAATGTTATTACACTCATACACCAGTCTATTATATCTCATTAGCAATATCTGTTTTATTTGATCCATTGAATAATTAACTGTATACACAGTGCATTTGCTCTGTATAATTACACATGTTGGAATACATTTTTTGTCAAACAATGTCTCTGTTGTGCTTCTTGGGGCTTAAGTTGTTTACGTGTAATTCGATGAGCATTAGCATGCTGATGTTTGCAAAATGACACCTAAAACAAAGGAACGTTGGTAAAGTTTAGAAAACTTTAGTTTCCCTGAGTGAAATTCTAGTACTTTGTTACTTGGCAATAATTTGGTCTGTCTCGTGACTTCTCTCTTTTCTCTGTGTATTTGAGTCAGAAGCCCAGAGGCTAAAACTGAAGTTTCTAACCTTTTAGACCTAGAATCTAAGTCCTTAGTAGTTGTTAATTTTGATCTGAAAATGCTTTTAGGTTAAAAGTATGGTTTATTTAAACTCTAAAGTTCATGGAGGGTAAGGATCTTGAGTGGGTCAATCTAATACTCCATAGGGTTATAAGTAACTTGTAAACCAGCTATTTTCTGGGTGGTCGCTTCACCTGCCAAAACGATCACCCTTGGTGTAGAACTACATCCAGATGAGCCAAATTAAATGACTGGCCTGCACAAAGCCCTGAATTGAATCCTATTAATATTCTGTAAAACTGAAGATCAAGGTCCATGCCAGACGACTATTAAATCTGAAGGAGTTTCAGCGATTTGCCAAAAAAAAAGGATACGCAATTGAATATTTGCATTAGGGAGACATCTGTATGCACAGGAAGCTTTTTGGAAGAAATTTGGGTATAAATGATCACTGTGTATTCAGGTTTGGCTGTATGTGTTTGTGCAACTGTTTTATGATTAGTTTGTTTAGTATTTGTGTGTGGATTGGAGCATTGTGAGACCTCAAAAGTTACACACAAATCACCACACACATTTGCAAATCTTACTCTAGGCTTGTCATCAATCATGTTATACACATTTGTAACACTTTTGAGGCAAATTTCTCTCAAAATCTCTCTCACCAATTCCTTTTACAATGCAGCTTACAAATGATTGCAGGTGACTTCAGTAACAGTAAGAGTAAGGTTTCTATGTTTTCTACTCCTCTACATCATAACTGTTGCTCAAGGTAATTAATAAGAGAAAACCTATTCATATCATAGAGTATTTTGCTAATTTTAGGAAATAGAGCTATCTATTTTTGCATATGTATGTAGTAATGGTAACTGATCTTGGAGCAGTAAAAGCCAAGTCAGGGGTAGCTTGTCTGGCACTCTGGTCTCCCATCACAGACAGGTTTATTTATTAAAAAAAAACAAAAAAAAAAACAAGCAAAAAGTCCGCTGCCCTCAACACTGGCAAGCTCCAACTTTTGTTAATGGGAAATGGACATGCCCATGAAAATGACAGAAACCCACAGATTCTCGGGTCTTGGAGTCAAACTAGCTTCCGTACAGAAGTAAAAAAGCCGCCGCCAAAAGACAGAGTTTACAAGATGAATGGAAACAAGCAATGTTTACATTTTGTTAATAGGGCGACCGTGGTTCGCGTGGTTGGGAAGCTCATCTTGTAACCGGAAAGTTGCCGGTTTGATCGGTCTGTCTTGGTCATTGTGTCCTTGGGCAAGACACTTCACCCTACCGCCTACTGGTGTTGACCAGAGGGGCCGATGGTGTGATATGGCAGCCTCGCTTCTGTCAGTCTGCCCCAGGGCAGCTGTGGCTACAACTATGGTTTGCCAGTGTGTGAATGTGAAAGTGATAAATAATAATAATAATAATAATAATAATAATATAAACTTTATTTATAAAGCACACTTAAAAACCAAGGGTATGCCAAGGTGTAACAGAGAATAAAAGGAAGATAATAGAAGAAGAGTGAATGAATAATTGTAAAGTGCTTTGAGTGTCTAGAAAAGCACTATATAAAATGCAATCCATTATTATTACATAAATAACTACATCTACAATCTACATCTGTGGCACATTTCCCCATGAGTGAACTGTTACGGACCTTCTTTGAACTATAAATAAATACATCGACTATAGTAATTTAGAAAATAACGTCATTTTAATGCAATGCATTCAGCAGTACAATAAATCAGTTTAATTGAAGCCAGAAATGATTCTATGAAGCCATTAAAAAAAAAAAAATGAAGACAGACCTAATCCTGTCTTATTGAACATACTGTATGTTTAATTTAACATAGAGCCAATTAAACATGTGCTGTGTAGTCTTTGCTCAGCAGAGACTTCCATTTCTTCTTTATCTCTCTCCAAGAAATATTTGTTCCCAAGAATGTAACCCTCAATACACAATGCTGCCAACAAGTCTTATTTTGTCCAAGCTAAATCATTAAAGATGTTTTTTGTGGGGTTTTTTTTTTTTTTGTTTTGTTTTGTTTTAAAGCTGTGATCTTGCAGCAGATTTGGTTAGTAAGGACTTTCTATAAGATAGATCTGGGTTTGTATGTGCAGTAATCAGTCTATAGTGTATTCAAAAGGATAGTCCTGTGTGGGCACTGAGTCAAAGACAACACTATCGAATGGGTTTTCAGTGGACCATTCATCCACAGGAAACCAAGAGTCATACCATGAGGTTGTTCTCTTGGTTTCAGGTGGTAGAGTAGTGGATGCTGTGGTGGTGGTTGTTGTCATTGTAGTCGCAGGGGTGGTTCTAAGGCTGGCTTGTAACCTCTGCAAACGCAGCCTCCGTATACGCATCAGCCGCAGCCGTCTACGTCGCGCAATGTCGTGAGTGTTGGCAGGATTTTCCAGCTCTGTATCAATGCTGGGGGCTGCCACAGTGCTGGCTGCAGTTGTTTTCACTACATTCGCTTTGGTGATGAGTCGAATGGGTCTTTTGCCGTGGAGTGCCATGATTTTCTTGATGCGATCCCAGTTGGATTTGGTTAAGGTGAAACTGCAGGGTGTTGCTCCGGAGTCATAGCCCACCATGCAGAGCCGTGTCTGAGGGGTGTAGCCATCAGCTTTGGCTGTTACCTTGTACTCCCCAGGATTTAGCAGTCGCCAGTAATCCCCGCCCACAGCCCCCACGCCCCCGAAACCGGCCCTCCCCGCCCACCCCCACAGAGCGCTGTTACCTTGTACTCCCCAGGATTTAGCAGTCGCCAGTAATCCCCGCCCACAGCTATACAATGGTTACATTAAAAAAGGTCATGTTAAAAAATGCTGTAAACGAATGACTGGATCTTCATGATCTGAAACACTATATAAATTAGTTTACCAGTTTTAACATCATGCCGTATCCCCTCAACAGATATTGTCGCGTTGGGAAGTGGATTTCCTTCTATATCCCTCACAATACCCTTTATCCCGCGATGTACCTGCACAAGAAAAGTACATCCCAGTGAATCTTAAGGAAATTTCACATGTAGAAAACTGCAGACATTAATTTCCATGTTTTTCAATGACATATCAAAGCTGCTATGTACAAGACTTTTCGTGACAAAAGCTTGCGTTCAGCTAGCACTAAAGCAGATAAGCAACTGACATGAAAATTAATTTTTAACTAAATATAATGAAATAAAATTCTCACTTGTTCAATAAAGGACAACAAAGCCTCACGGTTGTTCTCCCACTCAAGAGGCAATTCACTCTCATGGGGAAACTTATCACAGCCCAAGAAGATGGAGAGCTCGAAGCAGTTTGTGTGCAGGTAGCTGAAGTCATTCATACCTGTGGAGGAGATTGTGTTTTAGAGGAAATATTCTCCTTCAGTTGTAATATCATCTGGCTATTTAGATGATTTTATTTGTCCATTTTTGGAGAAACAGAAAAATAGCCTTTTGATAACCTTGATATTTAAGGATAAATCTTGTGATAGAATTCTGGTCGACTGTTTCTGATTTGCATAAAAAATTTAATAAACAACCCTAAACATTTATAATGATTGTCATATTAATAAAGACATTTGACATGGCATTTTCACTGGTTTTTCTTACCATCACAATGATGGTAAGAAATTAGGAAAGACACATAAAAAATGTACATTTTCCAGCAATATTGTAAAATTATAAATGGTCAAACTTTGGACCATAAACTTTTCATGCAAACAGGAGATGGTCGATCAGGAGATGTTCTAAGGTGATGATTTGAGACAGAAAGACCCCTTAATGGTCTTGACTGAAATATTTTTCATTTACGACCTTTTTGCTGTGTCATGTTAACACTTACTTCCCACCACTGGCTTCCAGGTGGCTCTGTTAGTGATCCCCTGTCCTCCAGTGATATCATCTCCATGGCAGGAACCTCGGTAGGTCTCTGTCATGGTTAGATGGCTGTGGGCATATGACATTGCCAACCACCGAAACATGGCGTCGTCTGGAGTCTCCCTCAGAGCACCCTCATTCTGGCGCTGAATGCGAGCCCAGGTGTCCTCGTTCATTTCTGCATTATTTCTCCAACGACGGTTGTCAGTTAGCTTAAACATTAAGACAGCATAGAGTTATTATACAAGTGTACAGCTGCCAAAGAGTGCTTTTGTTAGGTGTTCTTAGTAAAAGAGCCATACAGAAATTGGTGGGCGCTGCATGTCAAAAGGATATGTGACCAGTTTTTCGCCTCCTTGCAAATTAGCTCCCAGAACAAAAGGGTTGCGCTCCATCCAGGAAATTACAGCTTTTGTCTCAACTGCAAGCTAAAAGAGATAAAGATTGCTAATAAATTTGTAGTAAATTAAAATACACACACACACACACACACACACTATCCCAAAGGACGGTAAACAAACTCACAGAGCCATTCAAAAAGTTTTCTGGAAGGGGGATGTGATGATTAGGCACTATACGAGGCACCCAGCCTCTGTCTTCAGCTCCCCACAAGATGCTGTTTAGATCTGGGAAATTCTGGAAGATGTCATAACCTTCTTCAGTCCAGTGGCCCAGGGCCCAGTTTCCCATCTCTGATCCCTGCAGGAGTGAGGATGGTGTTAGGTCATTCATGCTCTCTGGGATCTCTGAATAATTTTTCTACAGTGTTTTGAAAAATCTGTCAGTTGTGGTGAAGACAAGTAGGCTCAGACATGAGACGAAGCAACAAAATTCCTTTTATAAATGCAAGATTTGTAGAAAACACCTTAATTAAAAAAAACATTAAAAACTGTATTCTAAACTAATGTAACTAATTTAAGAAATTAGAAATTCTGGTATGAGATACTAAATTTGGATCAAAAATTTCATACCGATTATGGCTCTGTAAACAAAAAGATGTTTACAGCCACTGTTACTTTGAAAGGCGGACACAGGCATCGTGATGTATCGTACTGGTTTGGGAAATCTTGTCGATGAAACCTTGAGCTTAGGATTTTTAAGCCTTTAGCATGTTTTCAGCAATGAAACTGGCAGATATTAGATATTCATATGGTAGTGACTTGTCAGTAAGAAGTAAGGCCTGACTTACAATGTTACCTATTTTATTGTCCTTCTGCACTAAAAATGGTATCTATAAGCTATGAGTTGATGGAACCGAGGGTTGTTCCCCACAGACTGCTCGACCTTTTTTACAACCTTGTTGAACATTAAAGTTTGTAGGTTTAAGGCACTTCTACAATTGCTTCACTTTTCTCCATATTGTTTGCGGTATGTGCCACTAAACAAAGTTTGAAGCCTTTGATTGTACCATCTCGTAGGCCAGCTCGTAAGCATCCGGGTTCAGTGAGGGCACCAAGTGTATTCTAACACCATCCACCAGGCGACGCACTCTTGGGTTGTCATCATTGTATTCTTTACATAGAAACTGCATAAGCAGCAGGAGGAGCTCTCGTCCAAGTGCCTCGTTACCATGGAGGCCAGCTGTGTAACGAAATTCTGGTTCACCTAAACAAAAAGACAACATATTAACGCAACTAACAATTTATTTTCTGGACTAAGAGCCACTTGAATGTGGTAAAACCTATTTACATTGCTCTGTAAAGATGCAAATCGTTATACATGTACACTAAATGACAGACATCATGCAATGTCTACAAGTCAAAAAAACAAAATGTTACTTTGCCAGCAAAAAGTGTAATGACACTGTGTCTCACGGTGAACCATAATCTGTGTAAATTATGCAATTCTAAGATGAGCTTCAGCTGAGAGAATTACACTTAAGTAAAAATATTATAGATCTCTCTACCAGGCTCATGCTCCCCGGGGTTATCGGAGATTTCCATGGCATACATTTTTAGGCCCTGGGAGCTTTTTCCAATGTTGTAGATCCTGGTGATGTTGGGACATTCCTCATTTATTACCTTCATCATCTAGAAGAGTGAAGGAAAAACACATTTATGGATGGTTGCTGCAACATTATTGCTTTTGTAGGTTTTGGCATACTGCTAGAGAGGCAAGGTTGAAATGTTGCATTGTGGAGTAGACTGATAGTGTCCCAAGTGAGAAACAGACCTGTCTCATCTCCTTGTAGTTGTGGTGTCTGAAGTCCAGGTCATCGGATGGGTTGACCTCATTCTCACTGTGGTGGCTTCCTGAAAAAGTTGGCAAAGAGATTAGCAGAGTGGGAAGGAGATATTTTACTAAGCAGAAGTTTTTAATTTCAGTTTCAAGTACACTACTCCACTTTAAGTATTTGTTATGCATTTATAATTTATTTAATTTATTTAAGGGTACCTAATATGCTTATAAACAAAAATGTTTAACAGGTCTAGTGCTGGCACAAGTAATCGTTGGGAATTAAAACACTGTTTTAGATCATTTCTAGTTTATTCTCACATTACGTTTTATTGGGTTAGAAATTCACTGTAGAATTTTGGATAGCCTTTTTTTCTTAGGTGAAGGACGTATGGGTCAATATGACCTGGTGTAGCCTGCTTAACTATGTTATCTGCTGACTGTATAAAAATTCCCAGGGAGGCCGGCGCCAGGTGTTAAAGAAAGATAGTAGAAGTCGCTCCCTGCCCAGCAACAGCGGGGGTTGAGACAGGAAGCTGTTATAACTGTAGCAATGCAGGAGTTGTGTGTGAATGTATAAAAGAGAGGCTGAGACGTCCCAGTGACAGATCCGTTAAATAAATATCGTCAAATAATCGAGATCTCAATTTCAGTGAAAATAATCGTGATTATCATTTTTGCCATAATCGAGCAGCCCTAAGGGCAAGCATGGTGGCTTTCTACTCCTAAGTATGTTTCATGGATTAATTTATTTTATAAGGATGCATCAGTGCGCTGGAAGATCTAATTACAATGTATCGATGTATATTTGAGTATGCAATTTTGTTTTCATTTTCATTTCACTTTCCTGCAGTTCCTGAGGCACTGAAGGGCGTGGTACATCCACTGACAAGCAGAAGAAGGCGGAGAAAAGAGATACAGAGACCAGGAGGAGTCATCAAGAGCAGTTTTAAGGTGAGATTTGGTTGGAAGGGACACCAGATCTTTGATACGCCACAGATCTGTGTAATAGTTTGAATTCTGTTCCAGGTTTCACCTTTTTGTCATATTTTTTGTCATGTATTTTCTGTTTCAGTCTGAAAACAAACTGTATATCTATTAGATTTTAGTTAAACAAAATCAGGCAATTTGAGTTGTGAGCGTTTGTACTATTTTCTTACTTCTAAATTTCAGTTCACTTTTACTTATAATGTACCAAATGAGAACAGTTGCTTCAAGGCATTTTGTATTGTAAGGCAAACACCCTATGATAGTACAGAAGAAAACCCCAACAGTTGAACGACCCCCTGTGTGCAAACACTTGGTGACTTTGGGAAGAAGGAGCTTCCTTTTAATAGGAAGAAACCTCTAACAGAAACAGGGAGGGGCAGACATCTACTGCAGCTGGCAGGATAAAAGACACAATCTGATAATAATGAATTATAATAGTCTAGCCTAGATGTAATAAATGTATGAACTAGTTTTGAGCATCACTCTTAGATGACACGTTTTATCAATTTTATTTATATTGATATTAGGGCTGCACGATTTTGCATAAAATGAGAATCACGATTTTTTGGCTTAGAATTGAGATCACGATTCTCTCACGATTTTCTTTTCCAGTATAAATATTTATTGCACTTATTAACTGCACATCAACTTCGTAACAGTTGAGACTGAACATAAAAACAATAAATAAACATAAAAACAACAAATGTCTCACGTTTTGTTGTTGCCGCAAAATGTTGTACTGCTTGAAATTCCGTCTCCACCGTTGCTCGACACTGCGTGTATAGAGCAGGTAGTGCAACAATAGAAAAATAGTTGCGGGACGGCACTGTGTAGCGTTTGTCTAGGGTGTTGATCATTTTCCTAAATCCCTCGTTTTGCACAGTGTTGATGGGAGCCATATCTTTGGTCAGGTGATAAGTAATAGCCTCCGTAATTTCTTTGTGCCTGCGGGAGTTCGACGGTATAGGGAAGCGCTGTATAAGGTTCCCGTTATTGATGTTTGGGTGGTTGACCGGGACGGATTTTCTCCTGTCACTTTCTCGTCATCCCTGACGTGCTCTCCGTTGTTTTTTCCCTGCTAATTTTAGCATCACACGGCACAGCTTCTGTATCACGTGGTATAAGGCTCCGCCCTTGTCATTTGTTGAGCAGGAAGAGTGAGCGCTTGTTTTCATGCAGATTACGTCCCGGATCAAAATGCGGTACAATCGTCGTCGTCTTTTTTTTTTTTTTTTTTTTAAATCGTTGTCATTTGGAAATGAGATCGCACATAAGTATGAATCGAGATCGCGATTTTCTAACGATTAATCGTGCAGCCCTAATTGATATTAGTGAGATGCCATTTTATGTCTTTTACAAAGCTCACAATATAAAATGTATATTAAAACAAAAATGTCCAGTTAGTTTGATGAAATCACCCCCTTGTTCTGAGCTAATGTGTTCCCTTTTGGTTTTGGTAGAAGAACATCCGGGGGAAGAACCCACTGAAGAGTTTCCAGTACACTGGAGGGAAAAACAGAAAAGGCAAAGCGAGCCAGTCATAGCCGTTGGGACACACCTGAATGCGTTTGAGTTGCAAATGTTATTACACTCATACACCAGTCTATTATATCTCATTAGCAATATCTGTTTTATTTGATCCATTGAATAATTAACTGTATACACAGTGCATTTGCTCTGTATAATTACACATGTTGGAATACATTTTTTGTCAAACAGTGTCTCTGTTGTGCTTCTTGGGGCTTAAGTTGTTTACGTGTAATTCGATGAGCATTAGCATGCTGATGTTTGCAAAATGACACCTAAAACAAAGGAACGTTGGTAAAGTTTAGAAAACTTTAGTTTCCCTGAGTGAAATTCTAGTACTTTGTTACTTGGCAATAATTTGGTCTGTCTCGTGACTTCTCTCTTTTCTCTGTGTATTTGACTCAGAAGCCCAGAGGCTAAAACTGAAGTTTCTAACCTTTTAGACCTAGAATCTAAGTCCTTAGTAGTTGTTAATTTTGATCTGAAAATGCTTTTAGGTTAAAAGTATGGTTTATTTAAACTCTAAAGTTCATGGAGGGTAAGGATCTTGAGTGGGTCAATCTAATACTCCATAGGGTTATAAGTAACTTGTAAACCAGCTATTTTCTGGGTGGTCGCTTCACCTGCCAAAACGATCACCCTTGGTGTAGAACTACATCCAGATGAGCCAAATTAAATGACTGGCCTGCACAAAGCCCTGAATTGAATCCTATTAATATTCTGTAAAACTGAAGATCAAGGTCCATGCCAGACGACTATTAAATCTGAAGGAGTTTCAGCGATTTGCCAAAAAAAAAGGATACGCAATTGAATATTTGCATTAGGGAGACATCTGTATGCACAGGAAGCTTTTTGGAAGAAATTTGGGTATAAATGATCACTGTGTATTCAGGTTTGGCTGTATGTGTTTGTGCAACTGTTTTATGATTAGTTTGTTTAGTATTTGTGTGTGGATTGGAGCATTGTGAGACCTCAAAAGTTACACACAAATCACCACACACATTTGCAAATCTTACTCTAGGCTTGTCATCAATCATGTTATACACATTTGTAACACTTTTGAGGCAAATTTCTCTCAAAATCTCTCTCACCAATTCCTTTTACAATGCAGCTTACAAATGAAGCTTGCAGGTGACTTCAGTAACAGTAAGAGTAAGGTTTCTATGTTTTCTACTCCTCTACATCATAACTGTTGCTCAAGGTGATTAATAAGAGAAAACCTATTCATATCATAGAGTATTTTGCTAATTTTAGGAAATAGAGCTATCTATTTTTGCATATGTATGTAGTAATGGTAACTGATCTTGGAGCAGTAAAAGCCAAGTCAGGGGTAGCTTGTCTGGCACTCTGGTCTCCCATCACAGACAGGTTTATTTATTAAAAAAAAACAAAAAAAAAAACAAGCAAAAAGTCCGCTGCCCTCAACACTGGCAAGCTCCAACTTTTGTTAATGGGAAATGGACATGCCCATGAAAATGACAGAAACCCACAGATTCTCGGGTCTTGGAGTCAAACTAGCTTCCGTACAGAAGTAAAAAAGCCGCCGCCAAAAGACAGAGTTTACAAGATGAATGGAAACAAGCAATGTTTACATTTTGTTAATAGGGCGACCGTGGTTCGCGTGGTTGGGAAGCTCATCTTGTAACCGGAAAGTTGCCGGTTTGATCGGTCTGTCTTGGTCATTGTGTCCTTGGGCAAGACACTTCACCCTACCGCCTACTGGTGTTGACCAGAGGGGCCGATGGTGTGATATGGCAGCCTCGCTTCTGTCAGTCTGCCCCAGGGCAGCTGTGGCTACAACTATGGTTTGCCAGTGTGTGAATGTGAAAGTGATAAATAATAATAATAATAATAATAATAATAAACTTTATTTATAAAGCACACTTAAAAACCAAGGGTATGCCAAGGTGTAACAGAGAATAAAAGGAAGATAATAGAAGAAGAGTGAATGAATAATTGTAAAGTGCTTTGAGTGTCTAGAAAAGCACTATATAAAATGCAATCCATTATTATTACATAAATAACTACATCTACAATCTACATCTGTGGCACATTTCCCCATGAGTGAACTGTTACGGACCTTCTTTGAACTATAAATAAATACATCGACTATAGTAATTTAGAAAATAACGTCATTTTAATGCAATGCATTCAGCAGTACAATAAATCAGTTTAATTGAAGCCAGAAATGATTCTATGAAGCCATTAAAAAAAAAAAAATGAAGACAGACCTAATCCTGTCTTATTGAACATACTGTATGTTTAATTTAACATAGAGCCAATTAAACATGTGCTGTGTAGTCTTTGCTCAGCAGAGACTTCCATTTCTTCTTTATCTCTCTCCAAGAAATATTTGTTCCCAAGAATGTAACCCTCAATACACAATGCTGCCAACAAGTCTTATTTTGTCCAAGCTAAATCATTAAAGATGTTTTTTGTGGGGTTTTTTTTTTTTTTTTTTTGTTTTGTTTTAAAGCTGTGATCTTGCAGCAGATTTGGTTAGTAAGGACTTTCTATAAGATAGATCTGGGTTTGTATGTGCAGTAATCAGTCTATAGTGTATTCAAAAGGATAGTCCTGTGTGGGCACTGAGTCAAAGACAACACTATCGAATGGGTTTTCAGTGGACCATTCATCCACAGGAAACCAAGAGTCATACCATGAGGTTGTTCTCTTGGTTTCAGGTGGTAGAGTGGTGGATGCTGTGGTGGTGGTTGTTGTCATTGTAGTCGCAGGGGTGGTTCTAAGGCTGGCTTGTAACCTCTGCAAACGCAGCCTCCGTATACGCATCAGCCGCAGCCGTCTACGTCGCGCAATGTCGTGAGTGTTGGCAGGATTTTCCAGCTCTGTATCAATGCTGGGGGCTGCCACAGTGCTGGCTGCAGTTGTTTTCACTACATTCGCTTTGGTGATGAGTCGAATGGGTCTTTTGCCGTGGAGTGCCATGATTTTCTTGATGCGATCCCAGTTGGATTTGGTTAAGGTGAAACTGCAGGGTGTTGCTCCGGAGTCATAGCCCACCATGCAGAGCCGTGTCTGAGGGGTGTAGCCATCAGCTTTGGCTGTTACCTTGTACTCCCCAGGATTTAGCAGTCGCCAGTAATCCCCGCCCACAGCTATACAATGGTTACATTAAAAAAGGTCATGTTAAAAAATGCTGTAAACGAATGACTGGATCTTCATGATCTGAAACACTATATAAATTAGTTTACCAGTTTTAACATCATGCCGTATCCCCTCAACAGATATTGTCGCGTTGGGAAGTGGATTTCCTTCTATATCCCTCACAATACCCTTTATCCCGCGATGTACCTGCACAAGAAAAGTACATCCCAGTGAATCTTAAGGAAATTTCACATGTAGAAAACTGCAGACATTAATTTCCATGTTTTTCAATGACATATCAAAGCTGCTATGTACAAGACTTTTCGTGACAAAAGCTTGCGTTCAGCTAGCACTAAAGCAGATAAGCAACTGACATGAAAATATAATTTTTAACTAAATATAATGAAATAAAATTCTCACTTGTTCAATAAAGGACAACAAAGCCTCACGGTTGTTCTCCCACTCAAGAGGCAATTCACTCTCATGGGGAAACTTATCACAGCCCAAGAAGATGGAGAGCTCGAAGCAGTTTGTGTGCAGGTAGCTGAAGTCATTCATACCTGTGGAGGAGATTGTGTTTTAGAGGAAATATTCTCCTTCAGTTGTAATATCATCTGGCTATTTAGATGATTTTATTTGTCCATTTTTGGAGAAACAGAAAAATAGCCTTTTGATAACCTTGATATTTAAGGATAAATCTTGTGATAGAATTCTGGTCGACTGTTTCTGATTTGCATAAAAAATTTAATAAACAACCCTAAACATTTATAATGATTGTCATATTAATAAAGACATTTGACATGGCATTTTCACTGGTTTTTCTTACCATCACAATGATGGTAAGAAATTAGGAAAGACACATAAAAAATGTACATTTTCCAGCAATATTGTAAAATTATAAATGGTCAAACTTTGGACCATAAACTTTTCATGCAAACAGGAGATGGTCGATCAGGAGATGTTCTAAGGTGATGATTTGAGACAGAAAGACCCCTTAATGGTCTTGACTGAAATATTTTTCATTTACGACCTTTTTGCTGTGTCATGTTAACACTTACTTCCCACCACTGGCTTCCAGGTGGCTCTGTTAGTGATCCCCTGTCCTCCAGTGATATCATCTCCATGGCAGGAACCTCGGTAGGTCTCTGTCATGGTTAGATGGCTGTGGGCATATGACATTGCCAACCACCGAAACATGGCGTCGTCTGGAGTCTCCCTCAGAGCACCCTCATTCTGGCGCTGAATGCGAGCCCAGGTGTCCTCGTTCATTTCTGCATTATTTCTCCAACGACGGTTGTCAGTTAGCTTAAACATTAAGACAGCATAGAGTTATTATACAAGTGTACAGCTGCCAAAGAGTGCTTTTGTTAGGTGTTCTTAGTAAAAGAGCCATACAGAAATTGGTGGGCGCTGCATGTCAAAAGGATATGTGACCAGTTTTTCGCCTCCTTGCAAATTAGCTCCCAGAACAAAAGGGTTGCGCTCCATCCAGGAAATTACAGCTTTTGTCTCAACTGCAAGCTAAAAGAGATAAAGATTGCTAATAAATTTGTAGTAAATTAAAATACACACACACACACACACACACACTATCCCAAAGGACGGTAAACAAACTCACAGAGCCATTCAAAAAGTTTTCTGGAAGGGGGATGTGATGATTAGGCACTATACGAGGCACCCAGCCTCTGTCTTCAGCTCCCCACAAGATGCTGTTTAGATCTGGGAAATTCTGGAAGATGTCATAACCTTCTTCAGTCCAGTGGCCCAGGGCCCAGTTTCCCATCTCTGATCCCTGCAGGAGTGAGGATGGTGTTAGGTCATTCATGCTCTCTGGGATCTCTGAATAATTTTTCTACAGTGTTTTGAAAAATCTGTCAGTTGTGGTGAAGACAAGTAGGCTCAGACATGAGACGAAGCAACAAAATTCCTTTTATAAATGCAAGATTTGTAGAAAACACCTTAATTAAAAAAAACATTAAAAACTGTATTCTAAACTAATGTAACTAATTTAAGAAATTAGAAATTCTGGTATGAGATACTAAATTTGGATCAAAAATTTCATACCGATTATGGCTCTGTAAACAAAAAG